TGTGGATATGGAACTGTGAAAGCGTTCTGAGAGAGAGAAAGAGCTCAGGGGAAATGAAACAGAAAAAACTGACCATGGTGAGAGAGAGACAAAGCTCAGGTAAAATGAACTTTGAACAACTTCAGCAGAAAACAGTAGTAACAAATACAACCATTTTAGTCAAAATTGCAAACATTTTCTCTCTCTCTCTCTCCCGCATGTTCAAACTCTAACTCTAACCAATCCATTCACTCTCAGAACCATAATCCCCAATGTTCTTTCTCTTCTCTCTCCTCCTTCCTATCCTCATCGTAACTTTCCATACCCCTTCCCTCACCTAAAATGCCATTGTTTCATGTCCCCTCAACATCACCGTCCTCACCATCGTGGGTGGCGGTTCCAAACCCTCCTTTGTCTCTTGAACACAATGCCATTACATCCTCTAAGCACTCCATCTTCTCCAGGCCTCCGCCGCATAGGCCTTTTTGTCCCTCCTCTCAACTCCTCCAACTCATGTCAGGACATTTTCCAATCCTTCATCGACAAATACGAACCCAACATCGATGTTCGCTCTTCCTGTGGCCTTCAAACCTCTTGTATCTCTCAGGGTTACATGAACATCACCACCCAACAACAATTCAAAGCTCTTGTTCCCACCACAGCCCTTCAAGCCGTTCAAGGAAACTATAACCAATCGCTTCAGAACAATACAACATGCGCTCTCTGCACCGCCAAGTTGTCAAATTTGTTATCCTATTTGATTAACTAAAAGAGATTCAATATTTAAAATTGAAGGTAATTTTAGAATTTTGGTCTAGATTCTCAACATTTTATAATTAACCAAATATAGCATCAGAAAAATTAACCTAACATTTTTAGAAAAATTTTGCCCTACCAAACAACTTTTTAGTAACATTTCCAGGAGAATAAATTTTCCACCATATTCCCGAAAATCATGATTTTCAGATAAAAAAAAATATTCTCTTGTACTAAACGCCCCCTAGATTCTACCAAAATGGATGTCCAAATGCGAATTACTCTCCTGTTCAAATATATAGTTACTAGAGTAAAACTTTTTTTTGGTCCCTAACAAAAAACACGGTCCCCATTTTAGTCGCATACAAAAAAAAATTAGTCTTGAGGTCCCAAAGAAATTCAAAGTGGACCCATTTAGTTGAAATTGTGATCCCTTACAAATTCAAAAAAAATCCACATTAATCCCTCAAAAAAACTAAAATAAGTCAACTTTAAATTTTATAAGTATCAAGCGACTAATTTTTTTTTGTAAGGAAGTAAAGTAACAACCATAATAATACTAAAAAAAAAAAGTAACAACCATAATATTTTTTTTGTTAATGACCAACGTTACTAATATCAGGTCTCGGAATCATTAAATTAATAAAAGCAACGACATATTCATTTCATCAGATAAAGAAAAGTTGCAAAGTGTAGTTTCCCACTTTATGTCTGGACCCTGGATCATTAACTCCCGTTTCTGTTGGTGGCATATCAAGATCAATTCTGACAAGAGATCTTGGGTCATACTTCTCTCTCTATCTCTCTTTTAAGCCCCACAATTGCTGTAAAATACAGTGCATGCACGTGAGTGATTCAAGTTTGGCACACTCCCAATTTTCTCATTAGAGATTTATAGTTACTAATAAAATAAACATTGCTTCAAATGGTAAAAAATTTGTTTATAACATCTCGATTTAATAATGAAGAAAATGTTGTTGGGAGATTTATTTTTGTGTTGGTTCAACTGTATTCGAACCGGTTAAGAAAAAAATAAATGGTAGATGATATGAGCCACGTTGACATTTTGAATCAGGACCGTCCACAGAATAGTACTTAGTAGTCAGCGTGTTGAGGGCACAAGCAGGGTGAGTTAGGATGATCTAGTTAGCTTTGTGGTCCTAGATATATGATGAGCTTTCAAGTGTCACGTTTCCTTCAACAAAGAACAAGCAATATAATAATAATTAATAGTACATAGAGCATTATTGTAGTTTGTCAATCAAAACCATGTTAGAATTCTCAGAGTGGCCCATTTAGTTAAGCTTTTTCCTTATATACCCATGAGGACAAGCCAATTGCATTAGACAAATGAATATAAAGAATTTGGACCAGCAAATTTGGACTAGTGGCTTCGTTAATTTGATTCCATTCTCATAATAATATGGTTCAAGTCCTTTTAATATCCTTTCTAATTAAACGTGATGAATTGCATTGGCATTGTGAGCAATGAAGCTCAACAGCGAGATTCCAACTACTGCTTCCCTTTAAAGACAATTAAAATGTAGTTCGGGAATGTTCTTATTCTTCAAAAAAGATTGGTGTATGAAAGTGGACAGAGTAAGTATAAAATCTTTGTAGATACTATATACATAAAGAAAAATGTTTATTATAAATATTGACAAGGAAAGAAAAGGAAATTCTGAGGTTCATAATATAGAAAAATATGAAATATTTATATATGCATCAAATCAGTGAGAAAAGTCCCTGTGAGGCATGGGTACTCCTTTTCCGAACTTTGCAACGTTACAAAGAACCAAAAACAAGGTCCACAGATAAGAATGCAAAAAGCACAAAGGGACCACAAAGTTGTAGCTTTGTTGGATTTTCTCCGCGTTCTAACCCTGATCCCAACTGGATATTCTTCCCATTATTGTTCTAGATATGTCCATCAATTATTATGTTTTATACTTTGCACAAGCATCAATTTACTGGGTCATTCAAGTAATTCTAGTTACATGTTTGTGGGGAATAAATTGTTTCGTGAAAGCCTTTATCTCATAGAAGCAAATTTTCGTTATTCTGTTTAAATATGGGACATGCAAATATTTCAGGTCTCACTAACATGGATTATATAGCATTAGGTTTATTATTTACCATAATACTAATGATAAATCTAAAATCTTAATTTATCTTGCAAAAGATGTTATTTCATATCTTGTTTTAGGTGAGACTTAATTAATTATTTTGTATCTCTTTAACACATCGCCTAACGCAAGAGTCATTTGGGTTTGAAGCATGGATATAGCACAAGCCCACTTTTTATTTACCTTGTGCTTTTTTTAATTCTACCTGAAAGTGAGGACGACGAGGATCGAACTCATGACCTCTTTGTTATTCCAGCTCTAATACTATGATAAACGTTACTTCAATCCAAAACCTTAAAACTTTAAAGTGAGACTTAATTAATTATTTTGTGTCTTTTTATCTCTTCTACCATAATTTTCTTTGAGATCCATTATGTTAAGAACAGTTTGACATTTAACAGAACAGAAATAAGTCAACAACAATTTTCTCACTTAGTAGCAATGACCAAAAGAAGCAAAGAAATTACAAATCCTAAGTAGTATTGAGGCAAACTTTAAGGAGGATTTTATTTGCATTCGAAAGAAAATTGGCAAAGTTAAAATCTTCTCAATAAAAATCATGGTAAGATCTTAAGATTTAAAGAACACTTTCTTCGCCAAAAAGGCTTCGCTTTTTGTTTTGTTATAACCCACTTGTCATACATTAATGTAGTGCAAGAAGTTTTGAACGAAAGGTGAAGCATGCCGAGCCAAAGTAGATAACGAAAATGTATCTGTTGTCCAATTGTGTAGGGCCAAATAAATCCCTTCTGATTCTCGTCCTTAATTAGAAAATGATTAGATGGACAAAGTGTTCATTTGGACGATTAGCCTCTACTGATACATAACAAATTATCTTATCCTTAATTTCAAATCAGTGCATTGTGTGTCTTAAACAAGTAATGGAAAATGTGTGATAGATTTGAAGCATATCCGAAATTCAGATGTCAGAACCATATACATAGTGCATGCCAATGTCCAATGAATACCACATCAATATCATTATAGAGGTTATCTTTTGGAATATAGATAAAAGACAAACTGCTAATTAACGTGAGGAAGCGGGCGAGCTGCAGGAAAATTGGACTTAGGCCATTCAGATTCAAATTAATTGTCAAACTTCATTGAAAGCAGGACCTACCTTTGTGACAATTGGGAAGAAATTTTTTTTTTCCTCCAATTTTTGTTTCTAAGCTATCCGTTCATTTCCTAAAACAGAACAATAAATAAATTTTATCCATCTTAATTTTTAACCATTTTTGTTCACTGATTAAAAAGAGAAAATAGTATTTTTGAAAATGTTAATATACACACCCTTAAAAACTGAAAAGGACCTCATAATATCTTTCCAGGTGTTTGTGGTCAATCCTCAGAAAATCACAACAGGAAAGTTTTAGTTGACCGTCATGCTACATCAGATACAGCTCTCTGAATGTGATGTGTAAGTTTATGGAAATCACCTTGAGAGTGAAGCCACTCTGAAACTTCACCCAACATAGTATACAGATATTGAGATCAGCAAAGCATCTTGAACCAGAACTTGGAACAGGAACGAACTCCCAGAAACATTGACATTATGAAGTGCTTCTAAATTAAAAGACTTTTATGTACTGGATTTGTTATGCACGAAATTTTTTACAGAATTCCAAAATTCAGATAAAGCCCAAAATCTAGTAAACTTCAGATCTTTGGAGAATTCGTTTTGTGCAGCAAAAAGCAGCACAAGTGTAGTTAGCCATAGAGGTGTGCAAGGTATGCAAAAGAATCAAAAAAGTGTGAACTGAACCGAATTGCATTTAAAATAACCGGTTTTTGAAAACCAATTCATGAACCGTACTGGTTTTTAAAAAAATAGTTCAATAACCGAACTGATTTTTAGAAACCAGTTCAAGAACCAAACCGTTTTCGAACCGCATCGGTTTCAAACCGAACTAAACCGTTTTATTACTTTATTTCTTTAATTTTTTTATTTTTAGAATAGGTTCGACTCGAACCAATTTCAAACTAAATCGAACTGTTTAAACCAATTCGGTTTAGTTTTTCAAAAAATTCAGTTCAATTCGACTCATGCACACCCTTAGTTAGCCGTGTGTAGCTCCAAATATGCCTTCCTACTACCAAATGAGTGATAACAGCGACATATGATGGACTCGTGGCCCAGAAAAGGTGCATAGAGATAAATTTGAAACATCTTATACACATAAGTGATGAATGATGTCCATTCATTCAGTGGCTACACATTCCTTATCATTCTTAATGGAATGCAAGCATCATAAAGTGGGGGGGGACAGACAAGAACCCCTGAAAAAGGGTAGATAACATGAAGATCATGCATCATTCATTATCATTCTCATTGTTTGGTCTTCCATAAACCACGGAAAAATAGTGGCTAACTGTTCTCAATGTGAGACCAGGGAACCTGTGAGGTTGGCCTGGCCGGGGATCAATCTTAACAAATGGCCATCTCATGATTTGCGCGGCTTCACACTCTTCCCATCCATCTCCAATTACACAAAAGCGAACGTTGGGATGGTCGAAGCGCTCCTTAATCCATTGAAAACATTGAATTTTTCCCACTTCCCATGAGCTATAAACTGAAATGGGATGATTCATCATTAACAATGGCAAGTCACACTGATTAAAGATAAGGACTAAACAATTTCGTTCATTTACTAGTTTTGATCTTTTAAGAAGATAATGTTTGGCATAAGAAATGTATTCTGTGACATGGCAATCGTATATTATTCAGAAGTTAAAAAGTTACTCACCATTTCCATGTGTTATTAAGCTATCCAGACGAAAGAGCAAGCATTTCACAAGAGAGGGTATCAATGATCCAGATGTCACTAAAACATTTACATGCTGACACTTTGCATTAGTTGAGTCAGTGCTTGTGTTAGCAAAAGCAATAGAAGAAACCGCATCTTCATTTTCACCTGAGCACTCCTTCAAAAAGGCCCGTGCTACAATACATTAAACATGAAAAATTTAAATAATACAGGTCATGCAACAAAAGGTAATATCATTGATTGAACTGTCAAAACATACCTGATGAAAGCCATCTGTCAGTATATTCATCAGTTTTATCATACAATTCATCCCAGAGCTTTATTGTATCATGATCTAAAATATTCTGTAAACCCTGAAACAAGAAGAGAGAAGGTTAAGTTTATCACTAGATCAAGCTAATGATGAAAAAACTTGCAAATAAAGTAAACTACAACTCGTTTGGTTACATCCTAACTCTGTATATAACTTGGATTCTCACTCCCTGAAGTTTATTAGGCTTCAGTCATTAGAAAACAAATTACCATCTCTCACCTATAAATTAAGGCTCATGAGGTTGTTTTAAAACAGTTGTCTAATTGTACATAAGCTTTGATTTGTTGAAACTTTTTCCGTTACTTTTTACAACTATTGATCTGTTAACATAGGAACTTGAATATTTATTTACATGTAAATTGCAGTCACTAGGAGCCTATGATTGTGTAGCTTTGAAAATCAGGAACTCATTTACAAGACACAGTAAGCTTGCTATGCCTAGATGAATTATTATTTTCCTGTTTTTAATAGAAGATAAAATGAAAATGGAGGGGAGGGGGGACAACATTTTTTGACATTTTCCAATAACATTATCAATATATCCATCCAACTCAGAAAAATATATTTTGACAACATTTAGGAACCAAACAATAACTCATTCAAAAATTATTTTACCATAGCAATACATAAATAAAATATTGTAGACTCAAATTTATGTAAACAGGGTTAATTATTGATTGCCAAACTATATATGTCTAAAACACATCCTAAAAGAAATATTTGGAAACTAACAGATACACAATGTGTCACATAATATCATATACAATCCAAAAATCTTCAATAAATAAGTAATGATAAAAAAGCGCGTCAGATGCAAGTTTTACCACTGACTTTCAGAATATCCATCACACAAAAAATACATAACTTACAAACTTCTACGTGAAGAGTAAGACTATCAATAATGCTCCATAAACTAAGTTTTACAACTTTTATTTTTAACCTATATGTATTATGCGACTATGAATCAATTCTCACAGGGTTCACAGAAAGGTAGTCCATATCAGCCAAATATATTACAATTATGTATTTCTAGACAATAGCAAACTATAACATATAGGTATAAAATGTGATCTCAATCAAAAATTATTTTACCTTAAAATACATAGATATAATGTTGTAGAAACTGATATTTTTAAACAAGTGCCATAAAACAAAACAATGCTATGGCTTCATTACCAAAAATTCCATCATGGAAATAAAAGCAAAGTACTGTAATAGATACATACATCACATAATACATATCAATTTCAAAAGGCTTCAATAAAAATACAATAATACAATAACAAGTAAAATTCCATGTTATAGTACTAACTTCCAAAATTTGTAATTAGAAATAGCAATAATGCCATAGAACCTTTACCTGTAAGTATTTTTGGGCTATGATTCGATGCCTATATGCAAGTTTTCTTTTGTTGGCATCATCATGTGGGGGACCTAATTCATCTTGGTTGAAGTCATAATCAGATAGGTCCCTCCCATCGTCATATTGGGTCAGAGCATCAAGAAATGGCTTATTGTAGTTTTCAATCTGCAGCACAGAAACCCCACACCACATCAAATAACTATCATCCCCCAAGTAAAACAAGCCATGGATGTTTCGACACAAAAGCCAAATTTTACTTGTTCATAGAAGAAATAATCATCGCATAATTGTAGAATGAGATTTTCCCACATCCTCCCGATTTCAACACCCTTCTGCACATCCTTCAGACTATTGAAAGCTTCAGCATATGATGATTTCAGCAAGGAATTAAGCAGTATAAGGGTCTCATCCATGTCCCACACGTAGACATCCAACCTGGGATAGATGTTGTTGCTAGAAAACACTTGTGTTTCCTTCTCAGATATCCCGGATGCACCGGCCATTACCGTGTGTGCTCAGAGGGAACTCACCTGAAAGAGCACTGCAACAAAAAATCATAATGCATTGAAGAATGTTACTTTACAACTTTCTCAGAGCATCTTGAAATCCTATCAGCACACAAGGATGCAATACATCAATTATTTCAATGGGTTAAACTAAACATCATTTGATTAGGATTTAGAACAAAATGAAAACAGGCGTAACCTTCCTCACACTCATTCAGTTGTTGAACAAACTTAAGCCACCTCAATTGAAATTAATGGAATCATATTTTAATGACAAAATTTATTTATTTATTTTTTTAAAAAGAATCGCTCAACAGTGTGGGAATATGGCTTTCTGATGAATTCAGAAATTTTATTTAGAAGATGAACGTACTATTTCAATTACAATAACCAAAACTAGCAGGATTCGAATCAGCGTGTAAACTGTAACAACGGATATAAAAAAGAGAGGCATATAACAAAGCCCAAAATCTACACATGTATGCACAGAAAAACGTGACGACAAAGAAAGTTGGTTACCTTAGGTTAAGGTTGCAGAGCGAGTAAGTACGAGGAGCACGTTGTAGTTCCGATGTGAGTGAGTGTGAGACCATCACATTCCCGCACATCAGCTGCAAATTTTTTTCCACCTGTTTTGCTTTCCCACATGCCCGAATGAGTAGCCCAGATTTCTGGCCCATTATGGAAAATTGGGCCTCTATATCCCTGACCAATAACAGCTATACCTTTTTTAAAATAAAAAATACCTTGTAATTAATACTTATTGTGTTTGGACAATTTATTTTTATTTTTCAAAAGTTAATTTTTTTTTAAGAGATGGTATACGTGCTTACCCTTTTTTTTTCATATTTACTCTTCCTACCTCGCTAAAATAATGTTACATCACAATCTCAAGAGGAGAAAGAAAAAGTGAAAATCAGTTGATATTCTGATCTAACGATCTAAAATTATATTTTTAAATTATCTAGTTTTCATAAAAATTTAAAAAAATTTAAAAATTAACAAAGATGTTCTTCTTTAAAACAGAGAAATAAAACAAGTTTTTAATCATATGTTTTACTAGTCCGATTCAGGGCGGGTCCCGGGATAAGGCTTTAAACCCTCCCAAATACAATACTGAGGAGAATCATACACATGCTCTCATCACCACTTGCTCAGTTCTTTGGCTCCAACTGAGCTATCACCATTTGATTTACTTCTTGTTCCTTTTTATTTAAGACACGTGATTGATTTTTGACTAGTACCAAATAAACCTTCACTTTTTTTTTTTTACTTTTTTTTAGTACATTAGGAGGGCTACAAGCCCAGCAACACAAAACAACATGAAAACAAAAAAGGACTACAAAGCAGGAAACTAACTAAGTAGGAGTTGTGGGAACTCCTATTCTATCTAAGGCTATATAAGCCTTTCTAAATTAGGAGGAATAAAAGTATACTGCTTGAAGACAACATCTTGATTAATAGCCTCATGAGCAAGCCAATTAGCACAAGAATTAGCTTCTCTAAGGGTATGTTGAAAGCAAACCCTTCAGTCTTTATTCATCCAGGATCTTATACGCTTCATTAGGTGGGATTCAGGAAGTCTAGGATTAGGATTCTGAATCAGATTAACAATGGACAAGCTGTCTCTTTCCACGATAAGATTAGATACCCCTGCAGTCCAAGCAAATTTTAAGCCTTTAAAGAAGCTCCAAGCCTCATCTTCCGTAGGATCACAACTATCAATTTTATAGGAGAAAACACCAAAATAGAAGCCCAAAACATCACGAAGGATGCCACCACAGCTAACCATTCTACCATTTCCTTGATAAGCATCATCAACATTTATCTTTGTCCATCCTTCTACAGGGGCAATCCACTTAACTACACTTTGACTCAATTTTCAAGTACTTTGAGGAGGATCATGGATAGCAGGGCACCATTTGAATGAGTTCAAAATTTCCTAAACCACTCTATATAGATCATGAGAGTACCTAAAACTAGGGTCATGGACCCCTTTATTTCTCCAGCTCCATAACAACCAGCACCCAATGAAGAATAAATCATTCCAATGCTGGATGTCATTTCTGGTACCCCAATTTTCTAACACATTACTTCGAAACCACTCATTGAATTCAAATTGAAAAAATAATTGTTTCTTCGATTGTTTAACTCACTTGAACCAAATAGTTCTGGCTATATCACAATCCTGCAGAACATGGAGGTGAGTTTCAGCGCTATTCCTGCAACGACAGCATAAGTTATCAGATTGGACCCAAGAACTGGTCCTACTCTTGGTGGGAAGCCTCTCATGTGCTGTGGTTCAAATAAAAAATTTTACCCTTTGAGGCCCCTTCCAATTCCAAGTCCTTTTCCAGAGGGGATCTCTTGGTGAGGAGGTGGAATTAATGATGGAGTGGTAAGCAGACTTAACAATAGAGTGTTGTCCAGGATGAATATTCCAAATAAGACTATCCTTTTCTTCTGCCATCCCTGAGGCAAAATAGCTTGGATTCTTGAGATTGTGGCATCATCTAAAAATTGTTTGAGATGATCCAAGTTTCAGTTCATAGTCGAAGATAACACATAATCAGATACTTTTTTGTCCAGCTTTTCTTCATGAGGCAAAACCTGAGCTAGGTCAATAAGGGTATCATTAGCACTAATCCACTTATCAGTCCAAAATAAGATATTATTCCCCGAACCAATCTCCCACATCAAATTTTTGAGAAAATTGTTCCAAATATGACCAAGGCTCTTCCAAAGAAGTGAATCAGTGGCCTTAACCAAGATGTTCTTGCGCAGATCCATGTTGCAGCCATACTTAGCCACCAAAACTTTAATCCAAAGAGAATCCTTATCATTGATGATCTGCCATGCCAACTATAATAACCCTCACTAGTAGTTGTGGATTTAATTTTGAAGAATAATTAGAAGTAAAAGAAATAAAGTCACCTTGGGTGAAAAATAAGTTAAAATGGCAGTTAAGGGGTAAAAATGCGGATAAACAAAGTTACCCGAAAAGTGAAAGTAAAGTTAAAAATATGACTAGAAAAATATTCTAGTCCATTTGGTAAAGTTTAGTAATGAATGGAGGTGTGTAGATAGATAAACTTTTACCAGTTGAATTTAACTTGACCTATATAAGTTAAATTTCAAAACAATGCACTCTTCCTTCTTCTTTCTTCACGCCGTCGACAGAGAGGGAGAGAAGAGAATGGGTTTTTGATCTCAAATCTTCCATAGCTCATAACTTGAGCTAGAGACCTCCAAATCACTTCGTTCCAAAGCCAAACTTGTGAGAAATTTCGAGAGGAATCCATTGGTACTAGTATTTCTGGGTGGGTTTCACTGTAGAAAGAGATCTCCTCCTCCAAAGATTTCGAATTTCATGGAAAAGATGGATTTTGATGGAGCTTGAGGCCATGGGAGCTTAGATACTCATCTCTCCTTTGTTTTAGAGTGCATTGTGGTAAGAAATTCCCTTCCTTTTCATGTTTTTATGAAGATTGAATTTATGGTTTCATTTTGAAAATTTGGTTTGATTGAGCATGTTAGAGCTTGATTCAGGTTTAGCTCATGTTGAGAAAAGTGTTTAGATGAGAATTTTAACGGTGAAAATGTATCTAAAAAATTAAAGATACCATATTTTTGAATAATGTTGTATACGTGAATAGTGACGTATACATGAATAGTATTGTAGAGATGAACAGTACCGTAGTACCGTATATATATGAATTAATGAATCTTGGATTAGAGGTGTGTGATAAGCTTGAATTTGATGGACTAAAGCATTGGAATCATGAAGTTGGCATGAATTCCTTTATGTGCCTCTTAGCCATTTACAAAGGAAGTATGTGCTATGAGTTACTGTTTTACAAATCGAGCATACTTTTATGCGTGGAATAATATTCTAAGGTGTATGGACCTTCGCTTTGGTGAAATAAAAAAAGAAAATAAGGTAGCTCCTTTGTATGACCTTAAAATGAGTTTTAGCCATTTTCAAAGGAGGTATATGTTCGGAGATATTATTTCGCAAAGTGAGAACACTTATACGCGTAAAATAATTTATATAGGTGGCTAAGCTTGGGTTTTGGCACTAGACAAAGAGAAATCTTATAGCTCCATTGTAATGGGCATTCTGCCTTAAGTTGGGACTATCCTAAGACTAAGTGAATATGTGAAATTTTGTGGGGATTTATTGAACAAAGAACCACCCACTTATGACTTAATATGATTAAGTAAAAAGAAAATAAACAATAAAGTGTGTGTCTTGTATATTTACATGGCATTATATCATTTTATTGAGTTTTGTGTTGAATTCCTTCTCTAGGTGTACCTAGGGACTGTGAACGTTTGGATTCTCGTGGAGCATGATAAGTAGCTTGTTCTTCAAGTAAGCAAATTGTAAAGCTCAAAGAGGTAAGCTCTATGTTTATGGGGTTTGCTCCTACTTTGTGTTCCGCCATAGTGTACGGACTGTGGTCAGGTTGTATGATACGTATGAGATATATGATATAGATGCATTCATATAGAGCTATATGATAATATGATATGTTTTGTTTTGATGTATTTACTTTGATATGTGTTAATATGATATGTTTTGTTATGATATGACTTCTGTAATATGATTTCTGTAACAATATCTGGCCATTGATTGTATAGTACCCGGATGTTCGCTTTAGGGTCCTCCCTCGGGACTGATGGTGTACGCCTCTGATATGTTCTGGTTCCGCTTGGGGTCCTCCCTCGGGAACACGTGCATTGATTTCCGCTTGGGATCCTCCCTTGGGAATGACTGCGTACGCCTCTGATATGTTCTGGTTCCGCTTTGGGGTCCTCCCTCCGGAACACGTGTGTTGATTTCCGCTTGGGGTCCTCCCTTGGGAATGACTGCGTACGCCTCTGATATGTTCTGGTTCCGCTTTGGGGTCCTCCCTCGGGAACACGTGCGTTGATTTCCGCTTGGGGTCCTCCCTTGGGAATGACTGCGTACGCCTCTGATATGTTCTAGTTCCGCTTTGGGGTCCTCCCTCGGGAACACGTGCGTTGATTTTCGCTTGGGGTCCTCCCTTGGGAATGACTGCGTACGCCTCTGATATGTTCTGGTTCCGCTTGGGGTCCTCCCTTGGGAACATGTGCGTTGATTTCCGCTTGGGGTCCTCCCTTGGGAATATCTGCGTACGTTTCTGATAAGATATGTGTATATGTTTTGTTTAGTTATGATATTTGATTATATGACATGTTTTATGGGATATGAATGATGATTTTGTAAATGATATTTGTTACGTACGTTGATTTCCGCTTGGGGTCATCCCTTGGGAACGATTGCGTACGTCTCTGATATAACACGTTTTGTTCTGATGTGAGTATTGTGATGATTTTTGTAAAAGATATTTGTTACGTGCGTTGATTTTCGCTTGAGGTCATCCCTTGGGAATGACTGCGTTTGTCTTTGATAAGATATGTATATATGCTTTGTTCAGTTATGATAATTGCTTATATGATATTTTGTATATTATGTATCTGACTGTCATGCAGGAAGTGAGCCCAGGGTATGGAGGGTTTTCCATAAACCTGGAGTTTACTAGAGATTCGTCTCTAATCCCGTTTGGGGATATGATTTCAGGAACACAGTTAATTGAAGAGCCTCATGGGACAAGGACACTAACCGTGACTAGAGGTACTAGTATGAGGATGTGGAGTTCTGGGTGGTCGGATGCTACTATTTGTTTTAGACGTATTTTTGGAAAAGATGTATTGTTGCATAGTGTTCATATTCGATACATGTACATTTATGCATTCAGGCATGATGATATGACTATGTAGTATTCAGTTATGTTATGTATTAGATTGCATGCTATTAGATTTGTGGCACGGAGCCAAGTTCAGCATGCGCCCATAGATGGGTATCTGAGTATATTTGCATGACTGGTACTTCTGGAAATATATATTGTTTAAATTGTCTATCAGGAACTCTTGAGAGTGGGATTGGAAAATCCCCAGTTGTCCGATTTACAGAGGTTACTCTGTCCGATTTTCGTCTCCGTAAAATAAGAATTAAATTAGAAGAAGTATGCAATGTGATATGTCATGTGAAAAAGGATTAAAGAAAAAGAAAAAGTTAGTTCGTATTTTCGTAAGTTAAGTCTTCCGCTGTTTCTGTTAAGTATCATATGCATGTTAATTGAACTGGCTCGAGGCTGGGGATGTTACACCAACTTATGCATGAACGCCATGTTGTGGCAATGTAAATTTCAAAGACCCAACCCACCCATTGACTTAGGAATACATATATCCTCCCAAGCAACTAAATGCAACCTACGTTCGTTATTAATATCCCAAATAAAGCTTTGCTCCACTTTCTCAATCTCCTTACAAATGGTCTTAGGGAGTAACTCGTGTTGCATGTTGTAAACAGGGATAATAGAAATTACAGAGTCTGCTAGAGTAACATGACTAGCAAAGGACAAACATCGCCCCCTCCAGCCATTAAGCTTATTGTGCACCTTATCCCAAATGTCATAGTAATGACTGAGAGTTGTTCTGCCATGCTTGATTCTCGACCGTAAATATCTATCAATCTGCCTTTCCTGCTTGAAGCCGCAAATTTGAGAAATCGCTGCTGCCTTCAATTGAGGGGTACTCCTTGAGAAGTAAATTAGGGATTTGACAGTATTCACTTTTTGACCAGAGATTTCACCCAAAAAAAAAATGAGACAATCCATTATCATCCTTATTTGCTCTTCATTAGCTTCAGCAAATAAGACTAAGTCATCTGCAAACATGAGATGAGAGATTAGAGGACCCTTCTCCCTGCCTTGATAGGTTTCCATTTCCTATTACTTACTAAATCTGCAATCATATGAGAGAGTTTTTTCGTGCAGAGAACAAAGATATAAGAAGAAATTGATTATTCTTTTTAATTTGATGATGATTATTATTTTTTATCTTCCCTTAATTGATTATTTATTATGGTTGGCAATTAACTTCGACTCAAATTCCTATTGGATATGCTGACTAAGTCACTAACTCATTTGATCTGTACGTTATATTTTATGCCTAAATATAAAACAAATAAATTGATGTGGATTTCTAGCCAAAGAAATAACATAGAAGTTTGTAAAGATATGATAATGTCCATACATTCATACGCATTTGCTTTGAATCTTAAATGCATCTTATTCAAAGCAAGTGGGTTCGAATGCTGATAAAATAGTGGTCAAATAATATTAATTGTAAGTGACATAGTTAATTAGAATTAATAACCTTAAGTAATTAACAGCAAGATTAGTACTTGACGACGTGTAATGATAAATATTAAAACAACTATAAGTTTCTTTAGTTTTTTTTTTTTTTTTAAAAAGTAATATAGTTTGATGGTTTTTAAGCTATATTCTTTATTTTTCGAATGTATATGCTACACACCTCTTAATTAAATGGAAAAATGATTCATAAATTCAGCTTGATAAAAGATTTTTCATTTTAGTTTATATAATCATCTATAATTAATAAAATATCAATTTAACTTTAATAATAATCTGTGATAGGAACGTATGGTAAATTCATGGTTTATGTGAATATATTATGAATGAAATTAGATTAATACTTTTTTATACAAAGATTAATACCTAAATCGCTATAAGTAATAAGTTGTATGAGCTATGTATTAAAAAAAAAGTTACATAAGCTGAAATCAACAAAAAAAACAAGGGTTTGAAACTTGTGACTAAGTCCACCAAATATATCTATGAAGAGTTTAGGATTAGTTTTATAATCAGCTCAAAGAATTAAAGTTTGTGGAGATATTCAAGAACCGACTTGCCTCACAAAGATAATTACATTTGGCACTGTTATAAAATCTGGCCTTACCCGATCAGGTCGACCTGAAACCCGATGAACCGGTTATCAGACGGGTTCGGGTCAAGCATTGGACCGATCATGTATTGACTCAGTCAAATCCAGTCAAAATCTAAACAAAATTGGCCAAACCCGATCAAAACCGATGATCCGATCGGGTCATGCATTTAAAAAAAAAACTAAAAAGCCAAAAAACCAAAAGTGTTTCATCTTACGAGAAAAAAATGTAGAACTTATTTTAAATTTTTTTTGTAATTTTATTTGTTAGTATACTCTTCTACAATGATATCAAATTTTAATTTTCAATACTTAAACAATTTGCGGAATAATAAATTAGAGAATGTGACATATATCATGTTAATGTAGTTGAATTTGAAAAATATGAGTTCAATGACATTGAGATGTATGTTTATGGGGAATTTGAGTTGCAATTTAAATTGACATAATAATAGCGTGCATTTTTATTTATTTATGCTTCATGTTTTTGAGCTTATTTAGTGAACCTTTTTTAATTTATTTTAAATATGGAGAATAGAATTGAATTTATATATATATATATATATATATATATATATATATACATACGGGTCAACCAGTCTGATCAATGACCTACCGATCCGACCAGTAACTCAAGTACCCGGAACAAATCGATGGTCGGGTCAAGTTTAACAACACTCAAATTTGATATTAAAAAAAATTGTATTACGATTTACGCCCATGCGAAGACTTTTTTTTTGTGAAGACATTGTTGACACGATGATATCAGAGTTCAAGCCCATTGTATTAGGACACCCTCTTCGTTTACTAAACGCCTTTTATAAAAAAAATAATTCCCAATCTAATTACATTTTTAACCAAGTCAACCATTATACTGAAGCTAACGACAGATTTTTATAATATCTTCAATAACAATAACTTGAGTTATTTTCATTACACACATATACGTATACATATATAAATTTATTAAGGATTAACAAGTTCCTTATCATTATCAACATAATTTCTTATCCTTTTTCTACTGGAAAACTGCAAATTACTAAAAAGCGATGAACAGAATGATGTTGTACTACAACATCTTTCATTTTATTTGCAAATGGCAATAGCAGAAAATCAAAGTTACAAACACTCATATTTACACAAACATTAGCAGAAAATCAAAGTTATAAACACCAGTTTACAAGGCAAACCCAAAATTATAGAACAGTTTATCAGGAAAAACAAGGTGTTCCAAACATATGCAATGGATAAAATATATCACAAGGAAACAATTCAAACATCATTTCTGCTGAGGGCAAAATATGGAGCAAAACCAGAACAAAAATCCCTTCTTTTTCTTCTTTGATGGCAGAAGTTCTGCATCCCTCTTGGTAACAAAATCAGTCATATACTGCACAACTTCCTGGTGAACAACAATGAGCAAAGTTTAAGTAAATAGAGAAACTGACAGAATAGAAACAAGCCAAAGTTACACCTAAAAAAGTTTACCTGAGCACCCAACTTGACCACTTCTCTTGGAGGCACCTCAAGAGGAGTCTCATCAGCACGAAAAGCTCTCAACTTGGACAAGAATCTGAAAGACTCTGGTAGAACTCTTATTTGATCATCACTTATATCCAACTCCTCAAGCATTTCAAGTTTTCCAATTGATGTTGGCAAGGCTCTTAGGTCCGCAAAGTTCTTTCCCAAGTTTAATTTTTTCAAATTAACTGCCAAACACAGGTCCTCTGGTACAAATTCGATTTCATTAAAGCTAACATCAAGTTCCTTCAAATTGCTTAGATTACCCATTGTTGAAGGCAACCTCTTAATTCTATTATAGTGCAAAGTGAGAATCTCCAAACATTCAAGCTTCCCAATTGCCTCAGGAAGGGCCTTGAGCTGATTGAAATCTAACTTCAGCACAGACAGTAATGAGCAATTTCCAATTGTATAAGGCAGTTCCTCAAGCTCGTTTGTCTCAACATTTAGTCTCTTCAAGCTGCTTAAATTCCCAATTGTCTCTGGTAAATGTGTGAACTCATTTGAACTCAAGTCAAGATCAATGAGATTTGTCAAGTTTCCAAAAGTAGGAGGAAGTGATCTCAACTTGTTGGCATGGAGGTCAAGATCAATAAGGTTTATCAATTCACCAAATGAGTGGGGAAGGTTTATAATTTGGTTTGAGTGAAGATCAAGCTTTGTTAAGGCCTTAAGACCCCCCATGGTTGTTGGCAGAGCCATGATTCTGTTTTCAGATAGGTCCACTTCAGTTACATCAGATAATTTCCCAATTGACACCGGCAACCACTCCATCTGATCCACCAACTTCCCTCTCAGATCAAGGATTTCAGCTCCACTTTTAGCACAATTTTCAATAAGAGTAGCCACTTTCATGAGACTTAATTTCTCAGAGCTCCCATGTGCTACAAAATTAAAGTCAAATGGAAGGATAAAAATCATATCAACTAGCCTAGTCAACCAATTGATAAGGTCCAAAAATCATAGAAGCAAGTATGAACAAACTGTAGTTATTCAAATATCAACCATAATCTTTGGATAATAATTAGAGGAAAAAATACAATAATATTGATCTAAGTAAATATGAAATTGGGTTATTTCCCATGGAAAAACTTTGATGAAAATGATTGGAACTGACCTGCTGACAAGAACTTTTCGGCTTTGAAATCATTCTTCTGTGTTTGTTCCTCTTCTTTCTTCTTCACCAAAGTTTCATCAGTGATCACATCATCCCTTGCAAATTTCTCAAGGGGTTCGGCTAAAGTGTGAGGCTTTTCTTTCTGGGTGTCCCCAGAAACCAATTCAGAAGCTCTCTGAATGAGATCACCAAAGGTCTGAAACATCTTTTCGAGCTGAAGAAGGTGGAGAGCCTCTCTCCTCTGTTCATGACTCTGGAAAAGGACCATGGTCTTCTTGAGCTCTTGCAGGACAGAGAAGAGGTCCTCGGGGACATCATGGGGTGGTTCTTGCATTGAGATTTCGTTGAGTTTGGTTTGTTCCTCGTTGTTCACTGTATCCAGTGTAGACGTGGCAGCTTCAACCTCTTCTATGGAAGGTCTAGGTGGCAGTGAGCTATAGATTCTGGTGATTTCTTGTACTGTGTCCAGAAAGGCACGTGAAGGTGGCTGTGGTGGGGCTTTCTCACTCTGAATCATCATGGCCTTGGATATTGCTATGGCGGTGCAAAGGTGGAAGAAGAAGAAGAAGAAAGAATTGAATGATAGAGTTGCTATGTGCTTTGTGGATTTGGTTATTTATTTTATGAAGCTCTGGTCACAACTCACAAACAGTTGTAGACTGAAAGTCTGAAACAGGCTTGGGAGAAAGACACGAGAAGGGGAAAAAAACAAGGATGGGAAATTTGGTGAATGTTTGTGAAAAAGTAAAATAAAAAGAAATGAAATATGGTTATTATATACCTTATTGTAGAAATTGATATGATAGATGTAAGTGTTTATTGAATAATTCAATGATTTTATAATAAATGTTTAAAATTTTATTATAAATAACCAGCAACCAATAATGAAACCACCACCCCCCCCCCCCCCCCCCAAAAAAAAAAAAAAAAAACTATAAGTGGCTTACACTTAAAGATAATAGTAGCAATATTTATTGTTTAATTAATAGATCAACGACTTCTTAATGAAAAGATTACGAAAGAAAAACTTCTTAATGAAAAAAAAAGCACTATGTTAATTAAATTATAAACGTTGTTAATCAATAGTTAACTAATGAGTAAGTAGGTGTAAGCTAGGTATAGGCTTTTAGGTGTAGAAAAAAAAATCTTACATTTTTTGTCCTGATTTCAATGGAATATTTAAGTAAACATAAATTTTATTCTTAAAATATATATATCTTTATTTTTAAGACCGTTTTAAACTAATATTAGGATAAGTTATTTTGTCTACCCTCTCAATACTATTAGATTATAGTTTCATTCAATAGTGAACATTTGTGGAATAAAATAAATCAGTTTACTCTTTTCTCTTTTCTCAATGTCTTCTGCCTTTTCTCACCTCCTCTTTTTCTCTATCGCACCATATCCTACCATCGTTGATTCTGCTCCTTTTTTCTCTGTCGCGCCCTCCATGAGACAACAACCACACATCATGACTTCCATATGAGAATGCCAACTCAGTTATAATGGGGAAAAGGGGGAAATAATAAGGAATTAAAAGGAAAAAGGATTATTATCTCTACCGTATTGTGACAGCTACGATCTACAAGAAAAAAAATATTGAATATATTTTAATGAAAAAATATTTTAGGTGTGGTAAGCACTGTGGCCGATGGTGTTGAGAGTGTCAACTCAACACCAAGGTCGCGTCCAGTGGCGCTCTCTTGTCAGAAGAAGGCCTCATCAGTGTTGAACTCCAAACGCTTTCAAAGGAGGAGAGAGAAAGGGATAAAAGAATTTATTTTACTCGCAAATCTTCACCGTTGAATGAAATTATAATCGTGCTGAGATAGGTGTTAAAATCAAGAACAAGGAGATTTATAAGTAATTTGTGTGTCTCAACTACACAGCGGAGAGTCTATTATATAACTTAAAGAAAGAAAATACAAAGAGATATACATGATATGGGACTTCTATACTACTATTATAAACTATTATTTACAACACTCCCCCTCAAGCTGGAGCATATAAAACATATGCACCAAGCTTGTTACATAAGTGATCTATCTTAGGCCCTCTCAAAGACTTAGTGAAAACATCAGCTAATTGATCAGTTGAGTTAACAAAACTAGTGACTATATCTCCAGAGAGGACTTTTTCTCTAACAAAATGACAGTGTATCTCAATGTGCTTGGTCTTTTCATGAAACACTAGATTGGAAGCAATATGTAAAGCAGCTTGATTATCGCAAATGAGATATGCTATTCCAATGTTCCAAATTTGAGTTCCTTTAATAATTGTTTTAACCAAATAAGTTCACAGGTGGTTGTGGCCATGGAGCGATATTCTGCTTCAGCACTTGATCTGGCAACTACACTTTGTTTCTTGCTTTTCCAAGAAACCAAGTTACCTCCAAGGAATACACAATACCCAGATGTGGATCTTCTATCACTGGGGGAACTTGCCCAATCAGCATCTGAGTATCCCTCAACTCTGGTATGACATTTGTTTTTATAGAGGAGATACCTGGAGCATTCTTGATGTACTTGAGAATACAGATCACTGCATTCCAATGATCTTCACAAGGAGAATTCAAGAACTGACTTACTACACTGACTGCAAATGAGATGTCTGGTCGAGTAACTGTAAGATAGTTCAGCTTCCCAGCCAATCTTTTATACCTTTCTGGATCTTAAAATAGCTCCCCCTGGGATAAGCTTGACATTTGGATCCATGGGGGTATCGACAGGCTTAGCATTCAACAAAGTTGTCTCCTCTAGAATGTCCATATCATATTTCCTCTGGGATATCACAATACCATCCTTGGATTGAGCCACTTCAATTTCCAAGAAATATGATAGTCTTCCGAGATCCTTTGTTTGAAAATGATGACTGAGATGTTGTTTTAACTGAGTAATGCCTTGATGGTTATCACCTGTAATGACAATCTCATCAACATATACCACCAAATAAATGGACCCAGAGTCTGAGTGGCGATAAAAGACTGAGTGATTAGCAGAACTTTGAGTCATACAAAACTGTTAAACCTCTCAAACCAAGCTCGTGGAGACTGTTTGAGACCACACAAAGATTTGCGGAGTCAAAAACTAGACTGGACTCCCATGAGCAAAAAATCCAGGAGGTTGCTCCATTTAAACTTCTTCCACAAGATCACCATTGAGGAAAGCATTTTTGACATCCAATTGATAAAGGGGCCAGTGACGGATAGCAGCCATAGTAATAAAGAGGCGAACATACGCCATTTTTGCCACAGGGGAAAATGTATCCCCATATTCTTCACCAAACACCTGAGTATATCCTTTGGCTCCATCTCCGTTCCTGATGACTCTGTTGATACTCAGTTACCTTTACCCTTTGTTCCAAATACTCGCGGATAGAATAATGGTTGTTTAACGGATAACTGGGATATAAAAATCTCACTCCATAATATAATCCAGATAGACACAGTTTATATAATTAGACATCTCACAAGTCTCACAATAACTGTTGGGTCCATACATACATAAAGGCTTCATGCCCAAAACTAAACATCAATTACAACATGTTCATATACTCAACACATGCATCTAAACAAATACATAATTCTCCATAAACTCATTAAATACAAGTCATGCGCATTATTACATAATTTCAAAATACATAACTATAGCATGATCAAAGCTAAACATGCTATCAAATAAATATCTATTGGCACTCCACTAGCCACGTGCCTGATCCTTGCACATGGAGGGCTCACCACTATGGTAGGTACCTGAAATGATGTCCCCAATAGGGGGTGAGATAACAACAATTTCAGTAAGCTCAGGGTTTATAGAGAATCCTCTATTCCCTTGAACTCATTTCCTGCATGACAAGTCAAATATAGAGCATATATACAATCATACAATATAAACATAGCATCATATCTCATCCTGGTCAGCTATTCAAAGACTCGAACCCCGAATAGCCAACATCCTGGCATGTCCAACATGCTAGTGTGCAATAACCCCCAGAGTCCAGTCATAGACAGTCTACACACAATATCTCAAGAGCATGAAATAACTCGAGGGAATGACCCAAGAGCCTACAAACATATTCACTGACCAGGAACCTCATAACATACATCACCAGTGCATCATAACATAATGAATCATATAATCTCTATATGAATGTGGATGAATGCACATATACAATATATGTCATACTTTCATACAATTGCAACCATAATGCCCACCATCATGGTGGAGTCACAAGAGAAGACGAACATCCTAAATAAAGCTTACCTCAGAGAGCTATACTCAAGCCCACTTGCTTAGGCAAGTACGTATGCTCCAAATCAATGTTCTCACAAGCAAGAATCTTTAGGCACACCTAGAGAAGGAAACATACATATACATTAATGACATATTAATTAGTCAAGTAAATATACAAGACTTAGCCATTTATTGATTTCATTTCCTTTTTACATACTCATATGTCAATAATATGCCCAACACAAGTCTAGACCATTAATTATATAATTACATATTTTAACTCATATAGAAGTGTTATCTTACAACATCATTCACTATGTGATTTAAGCACATCAATCATCTTAGAATTACACACTAAGGCAACTAAGATAACTTGTATTACTTTCAAATCATCCTAGCCATATACATCCTTCATGGCCGTGACATATATTAGGTACACAAGGTGTTCATTTGTTACCTATGTCAACAATAACTCATTAGACACTTAGTCCATCAATAAACTCTCTTAGATTAAGGCCCTTTTCACTTAAATTACAACTAATCAAGACATTTATCATCAATATTTGTCATTCATAACCTTGAACATTAATTATTATAAGTTACTAAGGGGTTCTCATAAACCCACTTAGCCTAAATCTCACTTTTACGATTTTCCTATAACTGTACATGCTTCTATTTTTTAGTCACTGTGCGCAACCCACTATTTATAACAATCTCATCTTTTAGTATGTTAATATAGACTCAATTATATTTTCAAAAAGGTATCACACGCCTCATTTGGAGTTCTCTAGCTCCGGTAATCACCGTTTGAAATTGGACAAGCAAAACTGTCTGCCAACTCCAAACAGAGCCCCAAACATCCCTCACCATTTCTGCGATTCTGGAAAATAAACTAAGCCAATTGCTCTCAAATTTATATAAAGAAAACTAGACACCTTGAGATTTAATTTTATATATCATGAGCTTAATTTGAGGAAGAACTGAGGGAAAAACAATTCGTGAAAGATGCATACTCGTACAACCCCTGCACATGGCCTCCCTGAGCAGTCTTCACTCAATCGGACCTACAGAACGCTACACCTCTTCAAATGGTATCAAATTTTGACACAATATAGATGACATCTCAGGCTTCAAAATGATATGTTCTCCTAAAGTTAGCATAAAAACTGGTCATTTAATCAAAGTGTGTTTAATTAGCAAATCCTAATTAGGTTTAGTTGGAAACCCTAAGTGAACATAAATTTAGGGTTTTTCATTTATTTATATTCCTTATGTTATTCAACATCCTCACTTATGCATTAGTTCATTTACTTCACTAATTACATGATTAGTGGTCCTAAACCCTAATTAGGTCAAATTTTAGGATTTAAGAGTTAATTAATCAATTATGCTCAATCCACCTCACTTAATCCCTTCATTAGTGTCCTAAT